TAATGTTCAATGTTTTTGAACAGAGAAACAAACATTTCAAACGAAAACAATTCTGATTGAAATCATTATTCATTCGAACAACAAATTACGATGTTTTATCGATTTTACGTTTTCGATGGCGTTTGTTTTTGTGGAAACAAATTTATGTTAACGGAATTCGTCAATAATGCGATAGAATTACCTAAATAACATCTTTGTTTATACTAGAAAAAACTTATTTTATAAAAATTTGACTGGGCTCCTGACTTCTTATTAATTTTTTAGGACAAAAAGTCTCCTCAATCGAAATTATGTAAAATTTCATTTTCCATTTATGGTTTTTTCCATTTATGGTTTTTATATTCTGGACGTAGCAGTTTTATGTAATAACAACATGCCTATTCCACCAGGGTCGCATCCAGATTCTATTTACCCAAGTATTTTGAAAATAGCTCGATATAGCACATAATAAATTTACAGCTAATAAATGTACATTGTGAGAGTTCGCAGGTCGTACATTGTGATCTGTAACAAGAATAACATTTCGAGTTTATATTTTCTCGCGTGTTTGACATTCAGTCAGATAATTACAAAAGAACAATACCTATGATATTGCGAAAGTTTTAATTTGTACACAAAATTGTTTTCGAAACACGAAACGAAACATTTGCAAGTTTTCGGTTCACGCCATTTTAATGAAATTTCGTTCTTGTACGAATGTTAAATGTTTTCTTTCGTCTTATTTCGTCATTTATTTTCATTAGTAAAGTACCGTATTGTTATTTAAATCTCAAGGATAATCTTATCAACAATCAACCAATTACCTCTTCTAACGGTTCAGACTAAATTGTATCCGAAAATGATAACATTATTAAAACTAATATGTATTTAATTAGAGCTCCTACGTAACTATTTCGGTTGCAACATCAAATATGCTTATGTACTTTTGTAAATAAAATATTTTCAATTCGATTCAATAACTCGATACCGATTATTTATCAGCATCGATCATCGTCACACGAATATCGTCCGATACTGATGCAAATCATAATAGATAACGTATTTAACAAACCTTTACATAGACATACGAATGATTTATACGCACTTGTGCTGTATTTACACGAACACGACAAATCCTGACTTACAACAGCGCTTCAATAAAGCGCTTTAAATCTCATTCCAAAATACCAGATATTAAAAAAGCTGCTACATTTCCTATGTATCTCCTTTGACGTCGTCTCAACTCTGATTGATGTCTCACGCTTGGACGGCTGTCAGATTCAATCCCTCAAAGGGTTATGGGATTTAAGTAGCTACTAAATTTATCACAGCGATAAAGAATTTATTTATCAACCAAAAGAGAAAATAACTTCTTAGACAGCGATGTTAAACAAGAATTATTTCGGTTGAATATTTAAAACGATATTCAAGTTTACATAAATACTGAATAAGATAAGGACTGTCTTTCATTACGGGCCATTTCTTATTAAAACATTTCTGTCAAGTTCTTCTCAAAGTGACATTTTAAGAGATATTCATGTTTATATTATCTACTTATTGCGTAAAAGCGTAACTCTTTATTACTTAATTATTCATTTACGAGTAAACGTTTAATTTACGTAACTACGTAGGTAAAACAGTACTTTATATTATGATTGTGTTACAAACAATAAATTACCAATAACGAGCTATAATTTACAAGAATAAAAGATAAAAGAATTGCATCATCAGAAAAATTACCGTACGAACTTTAATAACGTTGTTGTTTTAATTCCCAACATCCTTTGGTTATCAACGTAATAAGAAACAGACGAGCATTCCTCAATATTGTAGGAAGTAATTAAACTCAAACGCATACTAGTACTTATCTAATTTAGAAAGAGATAGACGAACTTTAAGCCTGGCAGTTATAACTATGAGGATCAGCAATTTGCTTCTACATTTAGAAGTGACGCGTCTACTCCATATTTAGCTAGTCTAGGTACTTACAAATGATAGTCTGGCTTATTATGGACTTAGATTACAGTTGTGCTGAGTTTCCTTAGTTCTATTTGTGTGGAGAAATGAGGTGACACTTGATTACTTCATTTGTTTTAGTTAGTGCTAGTCGTATAAGGAATTAGTTGCTGAATTTAGTAGATTTTTCGTGAGTTTTAGGATTTAGGTGTTTTATAAGATCGCTTTAATTTAATATTGCTTTTATATTCTTTGCAAGATTTTCATATTAAGCGTAAGTAAGAGGTTTTAAAGAGATACATTTACTGAGATCTATAGCAATATAGCATTGAATCTGAACCTATGTCTGATGTTTGTATAAGCTTAAGCCGTTGGTTCTTTCTTATAACACAGCGTAAAAACACTCAAAAAATAGATCTATTGTAAAGCAATAAAGTACATTGTACCTACGTGCACTTTTACTTCACTTAACAGGTGTTAACCTTCAAAGAAAAAAGACGCAACTGCACGTCAAACTTCACTTAACTACTCAATAAACTTTCCATACTTATTTACTGTTAGAAAACCGTATAATTTGATACACATACTTTCGTTACGACCACAAATAAAACTATTTTATAAAAAAATATCGATTAACTTAATTTCAGTGAACATTACGCAAAACAATTATAAAATGATTTCGATATGCATTACACCAAGAGCCATGCAATTAGTGCTTTTTTAAATGAAATTCCTGACTTTTTATATTACATACAATTTTTATAGCTCTTTTACGAAACATATACGGTATATGTGCTTGCCTTTATACGAAGAACGCATTATAATACAGATAATGCAATATTCTTTGGACATCATTACGACGGCGTTTGACTTCTATTTAAGTTACTATTAAGTTAACCCTGTACGAGTTTTATCCTTTTAACTCTGAATGTCTGTTAGAACATACATACATCACGCCTTTTATTCCCGAAGGGGTAGGCAGAGGTGCACATTATACCACTGTACTTATAACTTAATACCTTATGTTATGAGTCCCATATAATAGGGGGTGAGCCTATTGCCATATACCGAGCACAATTCCAGACTCCGTGCTACAACTGAGATTTTTTTTAAAAACCCAATATTGCTTTGCCTGACCCAGGAATCGAACCCGAGACCCCTTGGCCGGCAGTTGCACTTGCGACCACTCGGTCAACGATTGTTCTGTTAGAACAATCGGTGCCCAATTTAAAAATTCTCAGAAATTGCACCATGTCTCAATGACCAATGCTCAGTTTATAGTCGTTTTATTATCTTAATCAAGTTAAAACTTCAAAAACAGTATCCAGGAACGTATAATATCTAAATTTTAATCCTAATAAAGACTACAAACGTTTTTGCAGAAACACGTTTCAATTCGTACAAAATTATAACTCGGCAAATTGGTGTTTCAATGTAAATGTTAGCATATTCTGTTGAATGATCAGTTTTTCTAAGCTAAATTGTTTTGCTACATTTTTTGCTCCAGACCTCTGTTATATTGTTTTTACTTTGTACAAAAAATACGAGCCTTACCATCCGTCCCGAGCCATAAAAACACAAGATTTCACATTTATAAATACGTCGTCGTACAAATAAATTAAACGCTACAGTAATTGTTAAAAACGATATAATTACTTATGCTGCCAAAATATTGTTACAATTTTTATACAAACTTAAATGTTCCTTACTTTTAAATGTTCCTAACTGTGTGTTATACGCTATCCATGCAAGTCAATTATTCAACTTTACCTGCAAAACTCGACGTCAATTCCTGCATTCGTGTGCTGTAATTTGCAAAAAATAGCGTCCTTCCCTCGTTCGACCTACGAGGAGCGCGTTGAAAAAGTTCTTTCGTAATTAGAATACGAGTTTAAAAAAAATACACCAATGAGTTTCGTTTCAAACATAAAGTTTGAGGTAAAATAAAACTGTTGGTTTGGTAAATACGAAAGTAATTTTAATTATCTGTCAGAACTTTTGAATAAAAATTAATATTGAAGAAATGGCTTAGGCACTGCTTTATACTTTAGTTATGAAACTGCTACAGAAAAAATTTCAAGCGTAACTTTATTTAATAAACTTCGTAATCGTGCATTACGTTTTTATGAGATAAGAGAATAATTTGAAAAATATTTAAAAGAAACAAAATAAATACTAGACAGATTAAACGTTGCAAATCATAGATAATGTGCTGTGAACAGTAATAGAATCAATTATGTCCGCTAAAAACAAAAGGTCACTGACACAATACAAAGGATTTGTAATCTGTGGACTACCGGTCACGGTCCTCTGACAGTTGTTCGCGCGAAACAACAACCTGATTTACCTAACAGCCAGGTGGAAGTCTTCGGAAGCAGCTGTGTTTGGAAGCGAAGCGAATAAAATTGTTTCGGTGACTATCAAAATCGAATCACTGAAATGTAATTTCTGAAAGCAGCAGCCGAGTGTACCTCTATTCCTTTACCTTTTATATTTTCAACCAACCTTTGCGAGAAAGGACCGAGTCTAAAAATAAAGGGAGGAAAACCTCTTCTTGTGTGATAAATATTCTAAATAGAAACGGCTGCGCTACAGAAATACGGTCCAACCTTTTTTACCTCACCTGAGATGAATCGAAACTCATTATTCAAATGTTTTTAAACTCACAACATACATATTTAATATCATTTTACAAAAAGCTGCTTATTATGCGTTTAAATTAGCACTTTTACCATCTTCTCAAGGTCAAGCTTGATTGATTTTGTGTCAACAATTATATCAGTTCAACCACCTTGAAACCACAGGCTAAAAATTAAATCAGCAATTATGACCACATAAATTAATACATTTGAAAGTTTGTGTTTTTGTCCTAACAATGTAATTATACTTTGTGCCAGACACGGCAGCCGGAAAACTACATTTTACATTTAAATGCTAGTTAATGAAGTAGTAATTCTTGTATTATTTAGAAACTGTTTGAAGTTTGAACCTATAGTCGTTCTGGCGCACCCTTTGTAGCTAGATATCGATTGAAGTTTATTTATAACTGTGCTCTCTGCTTTCAGATCAAACCTAATCGGAGTTAAGGCATTGGTATGTATTTTAAACTACTTTATAGTTGTACCATTATCTATTTGGCATGGTTATTAAGACTAACAATCATTATGCAATTAAATCATAAAAATAATTGTGCATTTATCAGTCTGCTGAATATAGGTACCTAGCCTTTTTGCTCATTTTGGATGTATAATTACAAAAGTTATATCGTATGCGATTTTGGTCATTCAACTTCTTTGAAGGACATGTCTACTAAATCATTGCAATTGAATAATAGCATTATTATGAATTATTTATTAGCATTCATTTTCTCATCATTAAAATCCTATTAGTTCACGTAACAAAAGCAAATGTAAATGGGGCAAATAACAGTGTACGATTGAATTTCCATAGTAATTGCTAATTACTAACGAGAGAAGGATAGCATGGAACAAAAACACGAGACTGACCCATATACCGCTTCAGTGAGCCGGAGCTCCATAAACAAAGTGCTTCGAGAGGGGGGACCATAGAGCTATGGAGCTGGCTGGCTATAATTGCGCGCCATATTACACTTTGATGACACTTTCAAAGAAAATACAAGCGTTCTGAATTCAAATCTCTGAAATAGGTGCATATTTCTTTGAACGAGGAAATTCTCTGATTGTGTTTGGTATTTTGGAAAATCAGGAGTTTTATTGCGAAATATTAATAGCTATTTTTTGTCCTTCCAAAATGTAATAAGTATTTACTTTTTAGAATATGTAAACTAAGTAATAAATATTTAATAATTAGTAATAAATATTTTAATTACTTATCGTAAAATTTCGCCCCCAAATCTAATACCAAAGTCCAAAGCCGAATAATCGCGGGACCAAATGAATGACAGCTGTCGGCCATGTTTAAATCGAGCCGTGACTTAGAACAATTCAATGTACAAGTTTCAGGTGACACAAATACTTTAGTCTTGTTTCGGATTATGTAAGCCCAAGGGCCTTTAGGTTTGCGTAATCTCCATTCTGTGTGAAATAACCGTTAGGCGGGTCGCACAACTCGCGCATTGATTACTGTCGCTTGAGCAACTAGTTGCTTAGTTTAACAGTCAACACACCTTCCAAACCATACGATGGTGTCTGAAAAGCCTAGATGTTGTTTCTATAAAAGGTTTAAGGTAACTTGGGTTCTACTGCCTCGATGGAAATGATGTTGGAATGATGATGAAAATGAAAGAGAAATACAATACGAGTACCCGCGTATCCACCAGGCACACTTCTTAGTTATTCGACACTAAGCCCAATATCTGGAGTGTGAATAAAGGCTAACCTGAAGTAATAAGTTAAATGCATAACGATTGCTAGCAACTGTTACGTTATACCTTTCCCTTTTCAAAGTTTATAACTTTAGCCACTCATATCCCAATTCTAATTAAACAGTATCACCGCCACATTTGATCATTCGAGCGATGGAACTGTAGTCTGAGCCATCCTTTGAAATTAAATCGAGTGTAGCGCTCGATTCCTTTAACGATCGATAAGTGACTGTCACTCAGGCGGTCGTAGCTAATATGTAGACAGCTTTACTAATCAACGGATACTTCATACAATTTCTAATGTTTTAAATAATACAAATAATTACCAAATTACCACAACACTATTATCTAATTGAAACTGAAAACCACTTTTAATCTAATATTCAAACACTATACATATTGACAATTACAAATCAAACCCAAATATAGAGTACACTATAAAACATACCCTAAAACTGCATCCTAGAGTACAAATCCCAATCTCACAAAAACAACTAACTTACAACTCTCATAAAATATCATAAAGGAAATGTAATTTCTTATTGAGCGTGAAACACATGAGTTGATAACCTCGCCACGTGTTCATACTTCATATATCTACGTACATGCAATGAGCAAGGGGGTGCGTGTGAACATGTAGGAGGCAAATTCACATGAACAACGACCACTATAAAAGACCCCTGCCACTTTAAGCAGCTGCGTTTCATCGGAACTTTTGAAAAGCAATTCGAGGGGTGGGTCAGGTCAAGTTAAAGTGGTGGTCCTTAAAAGCTTGGATTAACGGGACATATGCGGGGTGTGGGAATACACCCCCACAGATGCAAGGTGCAACCACCCTTGCACACGAATGTTATGAAAATAAATATGAAACTGTACGGGATAAAAGTAAACCTGGTAATTGGGTACTCAATGTGAAAACACGCTGTACATACTACATACATACATACGTAGTTAGTTTATTTTTGTTTGGGTTTTGGTCTGACAGTCTCGTTAGCGATCACACAAAGAAATATTGGAATTTTCGATATTCGTGATTCCTCGCAGACTGATTCCGGCCTGACTCATTCAATTTTCGAGTCTTATTACATAAATTTTTAGAAACGACTGACTAATGCTCGTGATAAATAATGTTATATGATTTTTATAATTTTATGCCTCGTTAACGAAATGATTAAGCAGTATTAATTGTGTTATACAAATTTGTTACGTGTTCCCTTCACACTTATGTTTCAAGTAGACATTATAACACTTTACTTCGAAAGTAACATTCTAAAACCTTAATAAGAATAATTTGTAAAGTCATTAGACTACATCAAGTCTACCTTTTCTGGAAAAAAATACCGCTATCTGAAAAATGTCTGACTGTTTAGTAAAGAGTGGTATGAACACATAACATTCATAATGTAAATAGTTGCATTGCAATAACAATCAATTCTAATTTCAAACACCGACCACAATTCCGATCTCTGCGCCTTTAGTTCGAAAATCGAAAATGTTTTCTCAGTTGGTCTCATAAAATCTTCGTCAGTTATTTTATGCCAGCAATACCGGCCATAGTAACCTTTACAACTCGGATACGAACTACCAATAAGGTTCTAGTTTTATAATCAGCTGTATTTGTCACAATACACCTGCCCCTGTCCCGCCCACATGACGGAAGACATTAAAAAAACAACAACATGTGCAAAATAGGATATTTCCTGTCACATGTGTAGCTTATGCGTAAATCCAGAGATTTGTTCAAAATTGAACTTTAATGTGCTTATTTTTAAAAGTGAATGTCAGTTGTCGGGTGAAGCGTGGACAAAAATGAATATGAAATATGAGATTGTTTAGCTTTTACCTTACACCTACCTTTTGAGAACTTATCTACTGTGTTTGTTTGATTACAACGTTATTTACCTTTTATACAAATTTGGCTCCCACAAACAAACATAATTATGGAATAGTTATCAAAATAAGTACATACTTATATCGAAATATGTATCTTAAACCAGATTACATAAAGTTCATTGGTTTCAATTTCTAACATTATTATTCTAGGCATCTGAGCCGACTTGTAAATGGAACGAAAACAACGAGTATCAGACTACCTATTAATAACGAGCCTTAAATCCAGTACTTACGAATATGAGGCATCATTTTCTATTGTTTTGTTTCAATACTTTTATAAGGAATCGAAGAATTGGGAATTTATCGAAATAAAGGAATGATAGCAAGTTAATATAAAAAGAAAAAACTAAAATTAGTTTTCCTCGTTAGTTTAAACCTCTACGTTTTATTTTATTGAAATTTAAATTACGAACATTAAACTCATAAAAAAATATTTGTTCATCCAGTTAAGCAAAAATAATGGTTACCTACATTTATTTAAAATATAAAATTCCATACTTTTTATAGAGTTTATCTATCCTACGCATACACTACGCTATGCATTTATTTCTGCAACGTTCCATATTTATGACGTCACACTTTCGTATAAACGTCGTCATATCATAATACATGGTGTTATCACTATCGTTTTCATAGCTCACTCTCGACGCATAACTAACGCCATTAAAATAATATAAAATATTTATGTCCCACGGATTTAGTTATGGAGACCATGCCTAATAAAATATAGCATTACTGTAATACTTTCCCGTAGCCGTGGATTATGTCATAGTAAAATATTCCGCCATAATATATGGGGATTTTTGTTACTGATCTTAGATTCGTATTTCGAAACTTTTATCATGTTTCTCGACGACAATATTTTCCCACGAATTCATTGACTTTATTCGTTACCTGAAAAATAATCTTTACCTGATAAAAAATAGTTCATTAATAATACAAAATACATAAACACATTAGAAAAAATATCAAAGTATATAAAATGTATTAAACTATTTGCTGAATGTCTATTGTTTCAATGAGTGTATCCACCGATGTTTTTCTTAGTCATCTTGTGGTTGGAATACCTATATCACTGTTCAGGAATGTCTGATCTTCTGTTACTGGAACAAATCCAAGCCAGAGAATAGCATAATATACATATACAATACTCACTAATTTTATTATTTCAAGCTATGCCTCTATAGCTTAATTCATCTTGGCTTTTTGGAAACACTGCTATAAAATCAGAGAAAAGCTTTCAAATAAGGTATAACTTTCTACATGGTCAATAAATAAAGTTATTTCGATTCAACATTCAGAGTCCGTAGGCATATCTCAAACTTTCTCGTCGACTCACTATAATAAACAAGAAACTTTATCTTATTCATCCTTAATGATGTTATGAAAACACAACGAAAGCAAAAAAAGAACTTTTTTCTTTATTTATTTATTTATTATATCCACTTAATCGAATTACATAAAACCTTTTTCCGATTTCCATGACTTTTCGGAGACAATTTATTATATTTTACGAACAAAGAAAACGAGCATTGTTTCCTTTAACAAAATCTTTGCAAACTTATTAGAATGTTGACAAACTCTTGCAAAGATTCGAAATTCAAATTCGAAAAAGAATTTAAAATATATTTTGGGATGGCTGCCGTTGCTTCGCGTCGGGTCTTTAGGGAAATAAGACAATGCCAATATTGATGGACAATTTATTCAAACTTTATAAGGATATAATGGATTTCATATTTGTGGAAGGGTTGTTATACGCACGATATCTTGAGAAAACTAATTTCAGCACGTGGGCGAATGCTTAGTTTAAATCATAGACATCAATTGAATCTTGCATAACACCCATTGTGTCTTG